CACGACACGCTCCGCCCATTGTGGGCGGGCCTCCGTTCACATCATGCGTGGTGGAAATACCTTAGGCATTGCTCCCCTGCACTAATTTCGTTTCTGGTCTGTAGGCTTCTCTTAACCGAGTTATGAATATTTTCACTGAGCACCCATTTTCTAGAGAACGCCCCGCCCAGCGAGGTGGGTCTCGTTTACAGAGTCGCGAGCGGTTACCGACGCGACAGGCGCGTGATGCCGAGCGTGGGTTGGGGTGGGCCGGGGGCGGGTGTGTGGTGAGGGAGAGTGTGAGAGGTGGGCGTGGGTGGAGACGCTCATTGTGACGCACGGCCGACGCCACGGGTGGGCGGCTGCGGGGCTTAGGTAGATGTATTGTTTGGGTACTTCCGAGATGTGTGACAACCTCATGCGCAACGGCGATGACCTGGAGCCGAGGAGGGGTGGTGTTGGTGCCGGGGGGGCTTTTAAACATGTGGTGTGTGTGTTAGTCGAATGGCTGAGAGACAGAGAGGACAGACGGTCAGGAGCAAGATGGTGAGGGGCGGGGGGGATGAATAGTGGGAGTAGGAAGGGGGTCTCGATGCGGCCCACCACCGCTGTTAGCTTGTGGGAGAGGTACACGCTAACTTGCCAAAATCTAGAGTAGATATTGCACTGCATTTCTATTTCTTTTTCAAAGTTCACAGCAAGAATGGTCTAATCATTTTGCAACGGTCTCGAAATTAACCAATGATTTAAAGCCAGAAAACAGAACATCTTCATATAACATACATCTTTTCATCTAACATCATCTTTCATCTTTTCATCTTTTCATCATCATATACATACATCTTTTCATATAACATTACAACCTTGGGGTGAAGGTTTATACTATAAGGTCCGCTCCATAGGTACATGTTGAGCTAGGCCATGTCTAAAAACTTGTTTTATTCATGAATTCGAGGGACCCTTATAAGAATTTGAGCGTGGTGAATTACAGGAACTAGGTTGAGATTTTGTTTCGGATATTCTTATCTTCGTAGGTGAGCTGGGGAGTACCGTTTTCGAAGGTCACGATTATTTCTAGATAAATTTTATGGTTGCTTTTGCTGAACGTTGACTTAGACAGATCCATCCGGAGACACTCAACGTCAGCTGGTCCTTGAGCGCAAAAAGACGCAGTACGCTCAGTTTTGTCATTAAAGTCATTGTCACGTCAGCCAGCCTCCCTCCCCTGGCCATCTATTAATCTCGATCTGTCTCGTCCAGTCACTGGGGACCCCTTATAATTGCTCACATATGTTTCGACGATTACAACGAAATGAATAAATTGTCTCATTTGTCGTGATAATTCGGTAGCTTTAATGAGTAGCGCTTTGCTAACAATTCGAGCTAACTTTCAACTTTGAGCTACAGATGAAGTTCAGCGCTAGGGCATCCAAAACATCGAGCGAAAACGAGTATGAAGGTCCGAGTGTGCAACCGAAAAGCTGGAAGGACTACTGTAAGTCTATGCCTCATTTTTTAATCAACAGAAAACAGGTTCATCGGGATTTATTTTGGAATATTGTTCTCCAAAAAGTGTGGCAATACCATGGGAAGGGCGCTGACGCTTCTACAGTGACATCAGTCTGAGCCCAGCGCTGCGATAAACGGTTTAGAAGGGATTTCAAATAATGAAGCTCGTATGAAGGTTTGACTTTGACCATGCCTCTTATGTTTTGCAAAATCATCACAAAATCATATTTCGAAAAGAATTCACTTCGGAAATAAGCGAGTTCTCACACACGAAAATCCCACCGCGACGTTTTAGGAAATTAAATATCCTATCCTACTAAATATCCTGAACCAGTCAGATTATGGACAAGTTGGCAAAAAATGCTTTATTACTGAAGTCCTTTTTCGGGCTTTGGACTTATCCTTTAGAGGCTGTATTTGCAGTCAAAGTTCAAAATGTAGATAGAACTCGTTTAGGAAGCCTGTAAAGTGGTTTTTAACTAGCAGGATTAATCCCTGCGTTGCATTTGTAATTGAAGGATTTCTTCATAACGGAACAATCCTTTGTTTGGGATTCTTCGTTTTTATTTTTTGAAACTTCAAATAGTTTGTCATGGAGTGGCGTTTTCCCTAGCGCCATCCACTAACTAGGGGCATCCTAGGTGAATACGTAGTCTTCCAAGCAATTGGCCTGATAAATTGGAGGAACCATAATCTTCTCAAGTTGAGTGGAGCTTTCCTAGGCGTAGGTTGATCTTCTTTTTTGCACACGCTGTATTCTAGTGAATGTGATTTGGCGCACTTACGCCCCTCATCGAATAGACAAAGAAATAAAGAAGTAAATAAATAAATTGGTAACGGAAGGTAGTTGCCTTTGAGGTAAGCAAACCAGCCCTTTTGGCGTTTCGGCTGGGACCGTATGCTGAATGTTGGGGAGGGGATGGGGTCCCCAACGGTCGACGGTTTACTTCAACTCGGTTGGTACGATAGGAGAGTACTGACGCAAGTGGTGCAGCTGGTCCAGCAGCTCCGCCAGAAGGGCTGGTTTGCTCACCCCAGGACTAAGCCTTGGAGAGGGGACGGACCCGTCCTCTCTTTAAGGCTTAGTTCTGAGGTAAGCACCAAATTGTGGCGGTTCTAAGGACCGAGTTGAAGTGGTCCGTCCACCGTCGGGGACTCCATCCCCTCCCCAACATTCAGCATACGGTCCCAGCCGAAGCGCCAAAAGGGCTGGTTTGCTTACTTCGTTGCCTTTTCCTCTTTTTTTAGTCCTCCTTTTTAGCAGAAAACAGCCTCGAACGGACTGCCACCTTGGTTTTCTGGGTGTCTTTGCTATTGGCATCCCATCTTCTCCATTGGCTTTCATACTGTTTTTTCCATTTATATGTGAATTATCTATAGTACTGCGCGCAAAATCAAGTGGCAATGCAAGCCCAGAAAGCGGCCGTGAAACTAGGACTGGTTTTAATGCAGCTCTTGCCAAATACAGATTTAAGCCTGTTAATGATAGGAGCTGGTGAATAAAAGAGCACTGGGTCTACATTGTTTCACTTGACTCAGAAATTGTCCTCATTGTGAATACTAGCCTCAAAAATTAAGAAATATCAGTGCTCAGAAGAAAGCGGGACCAATGGTCCTTAGGCATAAGACCCAAAAAATAAAACAAAAACAAGACAAATTCGAATTGTTGATGATAAAAATAACTGAATGAATAGAGAACGGCGTGAACTGCGAGAATGTCATTTGCAGGATAATAAGGAAATTAAAACATCCTGAACCAGTCAGATCACGGGCAAGAACAATGTGAGGTTTTCACACGCTACTACAAATAACAGGATGTTTTTCCTTGAGTAATTAACATAGATTAAGATTCAAAATTTTGGAGCACAGAGCAAAGAACAGAACCTGTCAAGAAAGACGGGATTAGTGGACCTATTATAAGTGAGTTTACTAAAATATGTACTTACAACTTACCTTCAGATGGGATACCACTGTACGGAGTGGCCCTGAACACCTGCTTGACGTTTGGAGAACTGCATACAGTAGCGGTCGAAAGTGTCGCGAGCAACTTTTCATACAAAAACGTTCTTCCCAAAACCTTTTAAAGATTAGTAGGACTTTTTTTGAGTCTTCAGGGACTCGATTGTTCAGCTATTCAAGGTTTGGGAGTACCCGAAGACGGCATATTAATACTTAGCAAATTCGACAGGAAATTCAAAATAGTGCACGAAAAACTGCTTCGGCGAACACTTTCAGCCGCTACTGTATGAATATAATGTTCATTCATTTGTAGGCAAAAAGCTTAGCAAAACTGCAGTGCAAAGGTTCATTCCATCCCTTGGGTAGCGCCATGCACTCAAAAAGCGGTGGAGACTTCATAATGCTATACAAGAGTGATACAGAGACTACATATCAATACTGGTCGATTCAACAAAGACTGGATGAGTGAGAAAGCGCAAGAAGCAGCCTTTCTAATAAACCACGAATGGCAAACTTTGCTTGAGGCTTTAGTATTTGTTTAGGCGCAACCACCCTCATCAAGGGTTGAACTAATGCCGGCGAAATCCAGTGCAAATAAATTTCGGTATACTATTATAGGATGGAAAGCAACGAAATACATAATTCTCAACAGTTGAAAAGATGTAGCTCACAGAGTTACGTTTGATTCATTCTCTGCACTTGTTTACTTTTACTATTTAGACAAATATTTTGAAAGCACTGTGGAATTATTTAGCCTAAAGTCGATGCGTTGTCTTACCCAAGGCGCTCATTCCAATCAAGTCCAGTTAAATAAACATCTGACAAAATAAATAATAATTATGAAAAAATGTCTAATAGCCTAAGCCAAAGAGCTATGAAAACAGGAAGAAGGACCACCTCAAAAGGCTGCGAATTTCAAAAAAAAAACAAAGTAAAAGAACGACGCTAAGGAATTGACCTTATTAAGGCAAGGCTGCTGCACACCGACCAAAGCGGAGTGGAAAGAGGGGTCCCAACGGATATCAAATTTTTTAACACATTGATGCCAGCACACTATTACTGGCCTAAATACAATTCTTGTGATACGGAACATCGTTCATGATATTTTTGACCGATATTCTGTAGAATAAATAAATATGTGATCCTCAAAATAGGTAAATAGTGCTGTGGTCCTCCTAGGGCTCTACATTTATTGGTTTTTGGCCACGCCCATGCAGCCCTCCCACTCCAATACACTTTTTGCCAAAAAAGCAAATATGTGCGCTGTTGTCAGTGTGTTGAAGAAGTTTTGAAGCAATGAGTTAAAAATTGTCAAACGTAATTCATGACAAAGTCTTTGAAGTCAAAGAGGACTGGACAGATTTATGGGTAGACGAGCAAAATCAAACCGTGACCGACAATGCGACCAAAATCAATCGAAATATCACAACCATCGATCTTATTGGTTTATAGAGATTCATATGAATTTAAATGATTGACAAGGGAAAAAAAACACCGGAAAGAAGAACGAGTCGTGAAAAATGAAACAAAATGAAAAAAACTCACCCAATCACTAGTTTGGCAACTACGAGTAATTTATCAAGACGAATTTCAAAAAATCTGAAAAAAAAACAGTAATAATCATTCTGTTCCAGCAAGTCTCGAGTAAAAGTTCCGTCTTGACGAATATAGGCTACTTGTTAGTGACATATTCGACAATATACTGATGTAATAAAGTAATTATATAAGCGACTCTGTGCAAGACAGACAAACACATACGTAGTACGTGTGGCAAAGGACAAGCTCAAGCTGGAAATTGTTATAAATATGAGCTTTTCGGGGTGAAAGGGTGGAGTCCGAAGCCAGCAGCTGTTAGCGCGGATACAAATCCGGTCGTAATTAAGTAGTGTCAGATAGGAGAGGGTCGGGCAACAATGCAACGTAATTGGCCGAACATTGAGGTGTCAGATATAAGAGACAGACAGTCTGATCTCCATCGATTTCGACGGTAACAAAAGCAATGACAATCAGTGTCCGACAAAGATAAGTGCGAAGCCTCTCCATCACCTTCAAGACATCCATTCAGTTAATTAGTGCGAGCCGGAACAGAGTAGGGCGCTACCGCAGGATAGGGGGCATTCTGGTGGCTGTGCATTTAAAACCGCGTAAAAGATTTCCTGTTAGTCACAAACGGCACTAAGCCTTAGACAGCAAAGGAGAGACTTCCCTAGTTTTAGTCTTGGAGTATGCCCCCATATGCTGCAGTAGCACTCAGAAAATCAAAAACAAAGACAGCTTCAGAAAAAAAGCATTTTTTGTTGATTTTTAAAGCTTTCGAAATGCGGAACGTTTGAGGTTATATGTAGCGGGACGGTTAGGTCACGTTTACAGCTCGTGCCCATGTGATTCAAGCGTTATAGCGGTCACGTTAAAAGGAATCCACATATATGCATCGACAAAGGGTGAACCTAGTCTTGTCAGCACCATCTCCAAATAGCCAAATCGCAGAATTGGAGAAGTTACAGATCGATACGTATGTTTTCTTTTCCGGGAAATCACTGCATCGCACAACTCGTGTGTATGGACAGGATCTCGTATGGATGAAAAACTTGAAGATTTTCAATGATCGATCAATTTCCATGTATCAGGTTATCTGAGACAGTCGCACGTTACACTGTGCTGGCTAAGTTTTTTGTAGTTGAGGTTCTTTGCTAAAAATCACACACTTACTATATTCTACAGGATAGGCCATGTACGCAACTGCATTTAGAGTTTAATAAGCTATTATAAGCAAATATGAGTTCCATGGTCTCCCGATTTTTGGACGTTCCGGAACACAATCGAGGCGAGTAACTCGCACCAATACAGGGTGGGCAAAAATTACGGTAACAAGAGCGCTAACCAAACATCTCGATTTCCTTCGAACCTAATAAATGCACCTGGTTGAAGAGACCCCGGAGAGAAATCACTGGACACAACAGCAAGGTAGACCGCTTGTGCACAAAGCAAATATTGTGCAACATTGGTTTTGCAGAATTTTCCGAATTCATGCCATTGAACGAGGGGCCACCTTATTTTCCCGTGTTAAAGCAAGTGGGTTATTTTCCGTGGAGTCTACTGAAGACGATGGGCTACTACGAGTATCACTAAAGCATCGACGAATTAAAGAAGATCCTAGGGTAAGCTCGATGTCACCTACCTACACAACAGGCCATATGCGTTCCCGAGATGACTTCATTCAGGTATAAACGCAAACAGCGGCCAGTCCAAGAAGTGATGTTGTATTCTGTCTGGTGACCTTCCTATGAATACATTGTTGGGGTCCACGTGTGTCTTGCTGGCCGAATTGCTCTTCCATGAACACTTTATCCTGTTACCGTAATTTTTGCCCACCCTGTAATTTTACCATTTGCAGCGCCTTTTCCCAGTTTTTGCTGAAATTGCAGCCTGTGCAAAATTCTTCCCAGCTAAATCGTCAATGTGCCATAGCCACTGTCAAACAGAATACGTTACAAGTAATTTGAAAATCTGGCTACATCATCTCGAACCAAATCTGATGCGTGCAAAATACGCCTACACGAGTAATTTCCCTTTCATCAGATATATAGAAAAGGGGTCCCCTTTACAGGAAGCCGCAATTGTCCCATTTCAAACCACTTACTCTTCAATAAGCTGTTTACCCTCAAACCTTGCTGCATTCCAGCTGAACGTACTTATTATTCGGGAAATGCTGCAATTTGATATTATTACGCTAGGTTGTACATTTCCCCCTCCCCTTGCGTTTGATAGAATTTCAAAAGAAAATCAGTGGCTGCTGGAATTTGTAGCGCAAGGTATCTTCATGGCGCATGCGGGAGAGGCTCGAAATCACCGATCGTGGAATTGAAAAAAGTCCTTTAAAACTTATTGGTAACTTAATTGGTGCAGGTTATAGTAGTTATATTGCATTACTCCATAGTTGATAACGAATTGGTCGAAATACCACTACTTTTATTAAAAATTAGCAGAATAACGGGAAATCCGTACACTTCCATATATGAATGCGTCAACTGACGTGAGGCATTTACGCATAAACGATTCACGAGTGTTCAATCTCATGCATAATTGACCTTTCAAAGGTAAAGGCGACGGATTTGATCGACGAGGCGTTGGATAATGGTGGTATTAGGCGAATCAGCAGCAGCCGAAATGTGGCATTTGTGGGTCTTGCAGAGTAAATGGGGACAAATTGAGTGAGGTAAATTGAGGTGCACTGAGCTAAGTCAACCGCAATCAGTTATAGCCGAAATTGGAATGGCTATAGTTTTAAAAATAATAGATTCTGTCTAGTTCTATTTCAGGTGTATAATATCAAAAATAAATTTTAAATCTTCTTCTCCCTAGCGTTAGTCCCGCGCACTCGCAGGGTCCGCTGATCAAAAATAAATTTTAAATGAATTGGCTAAATTGAGGTTAAGGAAAAGTTAAGGTTGATAAATCTTTAGCAAACAAAAGTACAAGATGTGTTGCTCAAGTCTTCGGAAAAAGTCCCTATTCGTTCCATTGCCAAAAAGATCCTTTAACATTTTGAACCGGTCAACAAGGAGATAATAAAGGACATACAGCAAAAAGCAGAACTTGTAAGGACTGCTAATCCCAACAAGGCTATGTCCTGGGTCCATTACTAGAACAATTGCAAATAGCACGTATTGGAATCACGTACATAACCCCTTTGAGAACTGTATGCACGGAGACCGCGCATTTAGTGTGCCTTTTGTATTCGACAGCCAGGGCATTCTGCAGACTCCACAACGGAAGTGACGACAGAATTCAAGTAAATCTGATAACTAAAAGTTTTTAGTGATAGCTGATAGTTCATAAATGATAGCTGTAATTAGTGACAACTGATAGAATACAACTGCAACCGGCTAATCATTTCATTGGCAGAAACTATCACATTTTGTGAGGCCGTCGTCACTTGAGTGGCGAAGTCTGCGATGGACGCGTACCTAGCTGCCATATACAAAGGAGAGCTAATGTGTTACTGTGTTATAAGAACTAACAAATTACTGTATTTTGAGAATATCCTCTGCCTTATTAATTGAACGCAGTAGGACATTGCTGTTGTATGTAATTTTCCTGCTGTATTTCAAAGTATAGAGTCAAATTGTAGATCTAGAAGGAACACGAGTTTTTGGGTAACAGGAAGCACTCTGGAGATTTTTCGAAACATTATTTGGAATAGTAATAAATTGAAATTGGTGCGCTTGAAAAACCGCTGAGTCATTCCTAAGTATTTCACGGATAGAAGATTTGCAGGCTAGCAGAAAATGACTAACTGGATTTGTAGTCGAGCATTCAAACTGGGTTTGTAGTCAAGCATTCATTTGTTATTTTCGCTCAGTTAACTTGCAGGAGTAGTACTAGATTTCTCGGGTTGGGAGGGGGAGGAGGAAGCAGGGTCTGCCCCAAATGAGTGGCCATATCGGTTCACGCAATTGAGTACTACGCCAGCACAATGATCGGCTTAAGGTCCAATTAGGATTCAAAAGTAATACCGGCTCAGCAAGCAACCACAAAATCATGCCGCCGACAAGTCTTGTTTTGATGAACTGTCAAATCGTTTCTCTGAATCACACCTTCCTGGCCGCGAGAGATAGAAGTATCGTACTCGAGTTCAGCAGGGATAAGTTCAACAAGGATAGAAGAACTCAGTAAGTGGGACTAGACCACTAAAGCTTGTTCTTTAGGATCTGGCATCATTCTTCGTAAAAAGAATTATGTACTAAACAGTTAGGAGGTGAATCTTTTCCATCGCGCTGTATTAAATGTCTCGTATCTTGCAGAAGATCGTGAAAAAGGCGGAAAGCATAGAAGATAGAAGAAAGTGGAAAGAAAAGAGTGGCTGAGAGACGTGAAGAGAACAGGCACAGGATGAACTGAAACTGAGACAAATAGGAAACAAAAAGGCAGGTTACTAGAGAAAAGCACATAAATGGAGAGGGACAACACCTTCAAAAAATATTTCGTGGACTCACTAGGTGGTTTTTGAGAGAAAAAAAATGGATTGAAGATCCAGTGAATCGAAAATATCAAGTGTGAACACAAAAAATTCCATAGAGCAGGGGTTTTCGAAAAGTTCAGCAAAGTTAATCTTTGTTTAAGACGGTGCTACTTTCTAAGACCACGATGGATGTGCTTATGACGACAAAGCTATTTCACTCCTCTTAATTAGGTCACTTAGCTATCAAAATAAATATATGACACCACAAAGTTTTGTATAGTAGCCATACATCAAGAAATACTCTAGTTAACCATCACATCGAATTAATCGATCAGAAATGTTAAATGGGCCGTACGCTAGTAAATAACAACAACATCCACTAGCAAGACGTGAGCGTTGTAGCGATACAAAATTCCTTTTACTTACTAGACCCCTTTACTTTTTACTTTGAATGGGACCAGTTTCCAGAGGAGGCTACTACTAACAAGTTCCAGCAATTATAGTCAAACAATTCTTCCCACATGAAAATGGCAGGCGAGGTTTACTAGAATAATTAAATCTCAAAATCATTACATATCAAAAATCCCGTCAGTTGAGAGGCCAAAACTAGAAGGTGGGTTGGAAATGAACCAAGTGG